TGGACCAGAAGTCTCATAGGAGGGCTCTGATTCCCCCTTTCCAGCTCCAAGTACTCATTCAGGAGTGGGGCCCTCCTGGGTGAGGCAGCCCCCCTCCAATTCCCACCCACTGGGTGTCTCAGGATGTCAGAGCTCACAAGCCTTAGCCCCACCTCCAGCTGCAGGGCTCTCCGTCCAGTCCTGCGCTGCCCCCTGCTAGCAACTCCCAGCACATGGTCCATGCAGGAGGGTGTTTTCTTCTCATCTCCTTTCCCTGCCCTCACAGCTCAGCCAGCACCCGGGCCCCGACAGCCCCATCTTCCTGCCCAGCGACCCCGAGTGGGACTGGACCCTGGCCAAGATCTGGGTGCGCCTGGCCAACTTCCATGTCCATGAGGTCAACACCCACCTGCTGGAGGCGCATTTCCTCTGTGAGGTGTATTGCATGGCCACACTGCGCCAGCTGCCCATGTGCCATCCTGTCTACAAGGTGAGGGGGGCGAAGGATCGAGCGGGGGGAGGGGTTACCCCCTCATGTCCTTCCTGTGCCTTTGGCCAGCAGACAGCTGTGCGCCAGCTGTGCCCAACTGCATCTGTGCCCCAGATGTGCCCAACTGCATCTGTGCCCCAGATGTGCACAGATGTGTGCCCCAGATGTGTTCAGCAACATCTGTGCCCAACTGCGTCTGTGTCTTAGATATGCCAAGCTGCATCCGTGCCCCAGATGTGCCCAGAGGCATCCGATAGCGCTTCAAAATGTGCCCAGCTGGCCGTGCCATGGCCCATCACTGTCCGCACGGTCCAGGGCACCCAAGTGTGTGCCCAGCTGCAGCCCCTGCCCCAGATGTGCCCACTCTGCCTGTTCCTGAGCTGGGGGTGAAGGTGCCATCTGCAGCCAAAGGTGCCCACTCCCCACCTGGATTCATGCCCCAGTTATGCCCAGCTGCTTCTGCGGGTGCCGTCTGCACCCAGCCATGCCAAGCTGTCTCAGACCCAGATGTGCCCTGTCCCAACTATGTCTGGCTGAGCCTGTGTCCTGCTGTGTGTGGGCATGTCTCTGTTTAACGCAGCCGTGTGGGCCCGTCACCCCTCAATGTGCCCTGTATCCCACAGGGGCTGTGTCGCTGGGGGTGGGGAGGTTGGACCAGGGTCCCAGCTCAGCCCCATGTCTCTCTGCTCCCCACAGCTCCTGATCCCCCACACCCGCTACACCCTGCACATCAACACCCTGGTCAGGACCAACCTCATCCAGCCAGGAGGGCTCTTTGACAAGGTGAGAGTTGACTCTTGTCCCCTGGTAAGAGCAGGATGGGGGCTGGGAGCCAGGACTCCTGGGTTCTATCCCCAGCTCTGGGAGGGGAGCAGGGGCTAGTGGGTAGAGCAGGGAGCTGCTGGATTTCAGGAGGTGTGGTATCTTTGCAGCTCTGCCACTCACTTGTGATGTGACTGTAGTCACGCCTGTTTCCTTCTGTGTCTCTGTTCCCCCATCTATAGAACGGGTGGTATCGTGTGACTGCTCCAGGCATTCCTACAGCACGGCTGGTGGATACATTGGCCTTTCTA